TTTAGACGATCTGCGAAGGATATTCAACCAGGGGATTCAGTTACTCATCTTATTCAACTTTCTGAGCCATAGTAGAGAATTGGGAAACAAGAGAAGTATGGTGCAGGTAAAAGACTAAAACTATTCAAATGATGTTAGTGGAAGATAATTGAATTCAGGATTGTGATCTGAAGACTCTCTGATATGTTAGAATCTCTAGCTACAGTGGGGGGAGGTATGAAGAGGGCGTTGAGCTTAGAGTCCGTACATCACAGAAAGCATCAGCATGTCTGGCTTTACCCTGAAGCCTTATCTGACTGTTCCCAAGAGAATGCAATCAGCCTGGCGAGATTCTTGTAAATAAACATTGCAACAATAAAGTGATAACTCTCAATCATCTCACGTTCTGCTTCTGGTTCCTTGTGCCTAACACCTGATGGACTGCTGGAACAAAATGAGTTGCATTTCACAGGACTGATAAAAATATATTTGGCTTAATCAAGGGGACATTAAACTGAATCCTGTGGTGTTGTGAAAAAGAAAATTGTGATGTAAGAAACTCGGATGAAGCCTTGCACTCTATAGAGGAAAGTGGATATGTTTTTTTTTTAAATATGACCTACTTAACTCATTTTTAAAAAATCAGGAATAATATTGGCTCACAAGCTTCACACCTTTGTTTTCTGTATGTTCAGAATACAAGAAGTAAGCAGGATGGGCTTGAACTCTTGAGTACAGGAAAGTAAATATGATTTCATAGCAATGAAAGCGCTTGTGGAACATCGCAGTTGGCAAATATAGCTGTTAAAAAGAACAAAAGCAATGGAAAGGGAGGTGAAATTGCACTGTGCATTAAAAATATCTATGCTTCCCCAAAGAATCAATGAATGAACTTTTAAAAATGTATAAAATATTGTATATGTACTTTACTGTAGAAAGTACATGCGATTGTTGTTATCGACTATTGCTTACACAACCTGGATGAAGGATGCTTTCCAAACTAAATCTTTCAAGGAGACATGAAGCAGTAGTGATGGGTAATTTTGATTACCCTGATAAATATTAGAAGGAAGGTCTGCCATATACAGACCTTCTAGAAAATTCATTATATTCTACCAAAATGTATAGGCTGCCCACTGTTCCAATTCCTGGCATGTCTTGTAACTTCCTTCTACATAACTCAAGCTTAACTGCATTTTATTCGTTAGGGGAGATTTAACTGAGGAAAAGTTGCATCAACATTACAGAACATTACAGAATATTGTTTAAATAACACTGGAATGTCTGAATTTTAAAAAAAAACTGAAGCTGAATAATTTGAACAGGAAAGCCTTAAGAAGCCCAATTCCACTGTGGCAAAAAAAAAAAGGAGAGAGAGGAGGAAATGCAGATAAAACCAATGACAAATTTAGCACTAATCTGTAAATAAATGAGTTGGTTACATGCAGAAGATAGAAGAGTGACGGATAAAGATATTTCAAATTGTAAAGAAGGTGCTAGAAAAGCCAGAATGCAGAATCAGTTGAGTTTAACAAAAGAGGGGGGAAACAACCAAAATACCTTTGTGTTCAAAATTTTATGGAAGAGCAGGAGAAATGAGGTATACCAGCTGCCGCTGCTTAGTGAAAATGGCAAAATGCTAAAAGATAAGAAAGAAAATGTGGAATTGCTCAACTCCTCTTCTTGCTTGTTTTTCTAGAAGAGTTTACGCAATTGTATAAAACAGGATTAAGGGCTAGCCACTAGGACCTTAGTTTGAGACTGTCAGAAACCTTCTATTTCCTTTGGGTTTAAATCTTCAGGGCCTACTGGTAATTAACTAATTTATTAATTGAGAGGGAGTAAGAAACTTGCCAAACTTTTATGTATGTTATTCTTTGAGTAATTCTGGAGAACAGTATCAGGGGACTAGGAAAAAACAAATATAATCTGTATCTTGAAAGGAAAATCCAAGAAACTATACATCAGGCATTAAAAACCAGAAGTCCACTTCCATTGTCAAGACAAAATCTTATAAGGATAACACCTATTTTTTTGGATAGTTACTGTAGTGCTATAGATGTAATACATTTAGATTTCAGTTTGAAAAAGCATCTTATGACTTTCTGATTAGTAAGCTAATCAATTCGACATGATGTGTCATGACAGTTAATTGGATACATGTCAGCTCAAAATTCTGCTTAATTTTTATTCTTTAATAGTCTTTTATATGGTAGTAATATAGTTACATATACATAGAATATTAAATAATAATATGTAATACAGCAACAAGTATGACAGCTCAACATTTCAGGTTCAGACTCCTAAAGATACTTTGAGCATTTAGGACCATGGATGTTTGTCAGGAAAATAAGTGGCTCTGGCTGATTATACAAATGCCACATGATGCTGGGAAACGGTGAGGTCACTTTAAGATGTTCCAGGCAGTCAGTTATTTGTGGGTGAAGATGGGAAGCACTTTTGCAATGTTTTACTTTTTCATCAGTTTATATTCAAGTACGCACAGAGAGGAGTTTTTCTCCCATCTTTTCAGCTCAAAGGGGATATATCCAGTGGTGGGTTTCAAATTTTTCTACTACCAGTTCTGTGGGCGTGGCTTGGTGGGTGTGGTATGACTTGGTGGGCATGGCATGGCTTGGTGGGCGTGGCAGGGGAAGGACACTGTAAAATCTCCATTCCCTCCCCAATCTAAGGGAAGGTTACTGCAAAATCCCCATTTCCTCCCGATCAGCTGGGACTTGGGAGGCAGAGAATAGATGGGGGTGGGGCCAGTCAGAATTTTTACTACCGGTTCTGCGAACTACTCAAAATGTCCACTACCAGTTCTCCAGAACTGGTCAGAACCTGCTGAAACCCACCTCTGGATATATCCCATAATGTCTCTTAAGAGTAGTGTTACAAAAACTCTTGGTGTTAGTTGTGATAAAATGGACAGCACAGGAGAAAAAAATGTCTACCAATAGGTTGGGTTGGTGAGGTAGAAAACATCCCAGCACTGTCACTTCACAGAGTTGGGAATAACAGATCTATTCTCTTGAGAAATCAGATACTATTTTCCATCAAATTATTTTAATGAGTGCACTTATGAAAACAGGGAAACAGAGCTAAATTTGTTTATTAATGTCCATCTAATTTCTCATTCTTCTGTAGTCCAGAAATATGGGCCCTGTTAATTATATATTACTAATTACAATGTTGTATTATTAAGATGCTGAATCATTATCTGATTACCAGATTACCGTAATGCAGTCAGAATCCTAAAAGCAGTTGAATATAGGTGAATTAGTTGTTAGTATTCCTGACCTGGGGCAAAATGATCTTTTAATCATTGTCTAGACTAGAGGTCTTGCCAAAAAAAAACAAAAAAAACCCCAACCCTGGGATGGCATGAAGATAAGGAGCCTTCTGATGGAGCCTAGATTAGAGATTTCAAACCGGCCCTGTTTAGTCAGAGTTCCCTAGATAACTTGTATTTCTTTCTACTTATCATTTAACATCATGTATCACAATGAAATGCCACAATTGATTCATATTGAAGAGTAGGAGGGTTATGTTTAGTTTTTATTCTTGGATTCTAGTCCTCTTAATATCGTGGTGCAGTGAGAAAAGGCAATGTTCTGTCAAATAAATAGGCTGTAGTTACTGACTGTAAAATATGCATGTGTGAGCTCATCGTTTTTTAATGTAATGAGGAAAGAGAAGCATATTTTTGTCACTGATGCAAAATCCAAATCAATGAAGAGGTATTTTGTTTGTCACTAAATAGATGGAATTTATCACCTCACCTAAAAATGTCAGTGGCAATGACATTTTTTTTTTGTTCAGAAAGGTACTAATTATAATTCTAGCGATATATTGCTGTTATTGCAAGTTTCATTTAGGAACTAAATAAGCTTATATATCTCAGTAGACTTGCAATAATTAGTGTAATATATCTGACAATATTTTCATGCCTTACAGCAAGGATGTCAAACTCAAGATCCTGGGGCCAGATCTGGCCTGCAGGGCTGCCCTGGAAATAGCGAAGGACCAGGCCACGGTGCTTCTGCCAGCAAAAACGGGCTCCCGAGCTCTGTTTTCACTGGCAGAGGATTGCAGGAGGCTGTGGCAGCCAAAAACGGAGCTCGGGAGCCTGTTTTTGCTGGCAGATCGCTTGGGTGACCACAGGTACCCCCGACAGTGACGTCAAGCTGGCTACACCCACCCTGGCCACACACACACACCGAGATCAAACACAACCCTGATGCAGCCCTCAATGAAATTGAGTTTGATACCCTTGCCTTACAGCAAGCACGAGGTGGTGTTGGGAGGCAGTATGTTGCAGCTTCAGGAATATAGTGGTGAATAAACTTTCTGGAACACTTTTTTCTACTGGAAAAATGCAATTACTGTTAGGCAAGATTGATTTATTGATTATTTCTTTATTTGACAGATAAGGCTGCTCAACTTCATAACAAAGTATCAGAATTGGGGCAGCAGACTTGTTAGTGGGCGCTGGTGTTCTGACTCCACAATAGTATGTTCAAGAATAGTTCCGCCTTTTCTTTGTTATCTTTTAGCATTTTGCCGTTTTCATTGAGCAGCTGGTATACTGCTTCCTTTCTCTCCCTCTTATATCTCCCTCTCCCTCAATAAACATTTGAATATAAGAGAGCATATTTGGTATAGTGGTTAAATTGCTGACCTCAAAATGAGGAAATGTGTGAGTTCTAGGTCTCCCTTAGGCATGAAATCAATTGGGTGACTGGGCCAGTCATTCCCTCTCAGCCCAACCCAACTCACAGGGTTGCTCTTGTGGGGAAAATAGGAGGCAGGTGTACCAGGTATGTTCTCCACCTTGAGTTGACCAAAAATATAATGATGGCAACAACCACCATGTTTCTGGATAAGAAAAGGGAAACTGAATGATTTATCACCTTTGTTGTTGCTGTACAGGTGAGCAAACCAACCACTGGTGATCATTTTGCCTTTGTTTTTACTGCTTCTTTAAAATGGTTATAACTTTACTTCTCTTTGCACAGAAGGAAGCTGGAGCAGAAGAGTTTGCCAGTCTGCAAAGCCTTTGGAAGAAGGCAATTTGAGGTCATCAGATAGTGTCCATCTCCAGCTGCTAGAAGGATTGCACTCTATCCACTCTTGTCAAGCTGCTTGTTGTCAAACCCCAGCCTGTGATGCATTTTGGCTCATGGGGACTATCTGCATCCAGGTGAACTGTACTAAGTCTCATAAGTGTCAAGAGATCAGAACTGACATGATGGACCTCATCATGGTCTTTGTAACAAAATCTGATCTTGATGTAGATTCCCAACCTGCCAAAGAAAGGCAAGCCCATCTTCCCAAATGGTTGAACTGGAAGGAGAGACATCAGAGTAAATCAAGGATACAGAGGTCCTTCAAAGAGCTGCCTGCTCACGCATTGCATTTAGGAAACGTCAGGGGAAATTCTCTAAAGCGAGATGTGGACTCCAGTGCTGGAAGCTCTATAAACCATCCAGCTCCATCAGAAGCCTTGGATAGAATACCTACTCACAAGGATCTTACAGAACCGCAGTCTTCAAGACCAGAAGCAAACCTTTCAGGAAACCATACTAAAGTGGAAAAAATCCTCCTGCCAAATTATAAGGATTCAGAAGAACTGAAGCCCCAAAGCCCATCTTTTTCCAACAGTGATCACATGAACAGAGAGCATGACCCTGGTGGGAGTGGCTCCTTGGGGGTAAGTGAATCCCTGGAAGGGCAGTAATGCTACTCAAGCCAATGGCAGTGCAGAAGTTCTATGACCTTGACCTCTTGTTGTCTTGACGGATCCTGTCAGGTACCTTGACAGTTACCCAACTAGTTCACTTGACTTTAAACAATCAGTCCATATTCTGTTGATCTATATATGTATAGGGGATTGTTTGCTTAGACTTTTAGAGTAGCATCTGTATTCTTTTAACCTGACAAAACTGGATAAATCATACATATCTCTAAGTAAATAAGTAAATTCTGAAGTAGGGAAGCTGTGCTGGTTTGATCCAACGCCTCTCTAAAGTTCAGGCTGACCCTAACCCAGACTCTTGGCTACACATTTGCCAAGTTTATTTTCAAAGCTAGGGTAAAGAGAAAGTGTGGATTAATTTGCAGCCATCAGAATGCTCTCCACTCTCCTCTGCAGTTGCAAGGTTGATATTAAAGCTTGTTGCTTATCAACATGTCTCTTCACACAGCAAAAATAGCAAACAGAACTATTAAAAGCTATAAATATGTTTCCATTTGTTTGGCATATTGCTTCAAATGTTGCAGATAGTTGTTACTGAAACAGATTGTATCAAAATATAGCTTTTTATTGTAAATTACGTGTGCAGTAATTCCATTGTATTGGTGTTAACCATTCTATAGTAAAGGTTTCACTAAAAGAGCCTTGGTAGTACAGTGGTCTAAGGCACCCTGTTATTAAGCTGGTTATTAAGACCAGCTGCCTGCAATTACTGCAGGTGAGAATCTCGCCAAGGCTCAAGGTCGACTCAGCCTTCCATCCTTTCTAAGGTAGGTAAATTGAGGACCCAGTTTGTGGGGGCAATAAGCTGAGTTTGTAGAAATATACAAAAGAATGAAGGCTATTGCTTAGCGCATTGTAAGCCGCCCTGAGTCTCTGGAGAAGGGCGGCATATAAATCAAATTTAAAAAAAAAAATTCCTGAATTGGGAAATAAAATTACTTAATTGTCCACTTGCATGGCCTCATCACAGGATGACTCTAGGTGGCTTTAATAGCATTAAAACATTAGATCAGTAACCACCAGCAACAGACAAAATCAACCAGTCCTTAGCACATTGGGGAGAATATTCAAAGATATTCCTAACTAAAAATTCCCCTTGAGGAGCAGACATCTCCTTTCTACGTCAGGACATGACAAAAAAGCAAGGTTTTTGCAACTACGGAGAAGCCCAATAGGCTCAGAATCATATCCTGCTTAACTTCACCTATTGCAGAAAGAATGTAACTCTTGAAATATGATCTTCCCATCAGGGGTGAAATGCTACCGGTTCGGACCAGTTCAGCCGAATCGGTAGCGATGGCGGTGGCTGGTTTGGAGAACCGGTAGCAACAGCAGCGCAAGGCTCCGCCCACCCGCCCGATTGTTGTTACTTTGAAGTAACAACCGAAGTAACCGTTTTTTACCTTCTGCACATGTGCAGAAGGGTTTGCGCATGTGCTGAGGGTCCACGCACGCATGTGACGTGCGGCACGTGCATTTCGAACCGGTAGGGAAGGTAAGTAGATTTCACCCCTGCTTCCCATATAGCTGGGTGCAGTATTTACAGGCCTTGGTCACCTTGCAGCTGTGACAGGAGAACTGCTAAACTTGTGGAACAGGATATAGACCAGAGCCAAAAGACATTCCGGGAAATTTGGAAATTGCCCATTTTATATGGGAAACAGCTACATGGCATTGCTTTGCCTTAGTTGTCCCTTCTATCCCTCTGCTGTCCCTTGACTTTTTAATCACCTAGGAGTTGTTCAGCTTTTCTGTCTTAGCAATAACATGTCCCTTAAATTATAAACATCTGGCCTCTCACAAGAGTTTGTTACTTGGTATGTCAGAAAGATAACGCTATCTTCCCTGTGCTGAATCCTTCCTGGCCTGAGCAGTAAATACACATTTCATCTGAATTCAACTGAAGCATACTGCATCCTTTTTTTAACCGCATCCTGAATTGTTACTTTTCTCTCGATATTCTGATAATGACATTTTGCTGCAATTCCAGCTCATGTTCATAAGATACTCTGGCAAAGACTCATTTATGCCTTTTTAATAGCAAATTTCTATCACTTTCAAAGTTCTCAAATGCTGGGCTTTGAAGGAATGTAAGGTTTTCAGAAGCAAAAGCCTTTATAATGTGAAAATGTGGAAACCAGCCTTTCTTATCCTTATGTAAGAGTCAGTTGTGATCCTTTTTAAGTGTCTTGCAAGGTTGCTGTTTTGCTTCTCAAGGTAACTTAAAAGTGTGGCCTTATAGCACAACATTGTGCCATTTTTATGTTCTAGGAAAAGTTCTTCAATTCATTGCTCCAATGAGCCTGGAAAAAAGCGTCTTGTGCAGTTAATTAGATCTGTTGCCAGGAGAGAGCATTTTCAAAAGTGATTGAAGGATTATAAAAACCTTTCTGTTCCTGCTTTTCCTCACTGTACTTTACACTGCTGCTATAGAAGTTGCTAGTCTGAAACTGAGCATCTTATAACTGTAGGAGTGGTAGGAAAAGAAATGTAATTCTGAAGAATGGGGGAGAAGAAAATAATATGTATATTTTTTAAAACCAATCATATGCATATAATACCATAGTAACGTTTTCTCGAGAGCAAATTTGGTATAGTAGAATCAGGCTAGAAACCTGGTGAGTTCTGGTCCTGCCCAAGTCAACTGGGTAAACTTGCCCAAGTCAACTGGGTAAACTTGGGCCAGTCCTTCCTTCCTTCCTTCCTTCCTTCCTTCCTTCCTTCCTTCCTTCCCTCCCTCCCTCCCTCCCTCCCTCCCTCTCATCATAAATTGAGAGAAATGAAGAAAATTTAAAATTATTATTATGTTATCAGTGGAGAGATGCCAAGGACTCCACAGATACTAATCTTCACATAATGAGCCTAAGAAAGGAGGGAGACCTTTAATATGTGCAGTTAATTATCATGGTCATGTTAAAGCTTCTGCATGGCCTTAATACAACGAATGTCCAAAATGGTATAATAAACACATTACTTTGAGGTGGGAGGCAGAAGGGGTCATGTTTTGCCCTATAGTGGAAAACTGAATTTTCAGAGATGAGAAAATTGCACTTGCTTCCCCCCAACACAAACTATCACCAAAGAAATAAGAGAAAATAGCACCAGGAGGAGAAGTTGGATAATCTCTGATATATCAATACAATAGAACAAACACCAATATAGATCCAGAGCTAGTGACAGAAATAATCTATTTGGTGAATTAAATATTTGAACTGTTTTTTTGCCATTTTTCTGTAGCTTCTTACCAAAATATAAAAACCTTCTGTTGCTCCTAAATGGCTTTGGGGTTGAAAGCTATACTAATATTATTCAAGAAACTGAGCAAAGTAATCAAAATAAAAGGGTGTTTTATCCATCTTTGATTTAGATAGAGTGGTATCTCGGTATTCATCATTAATTAGTTCCAGGAGGTGCAACGAGTATCAAAAATGATGAGTACCAAATACTTTTTTCTCATAAGGAATAATGTAGTGAGTCACAAGGCAGCCAACACCAACAAGTTCTAGCTTGTGTGTTGAGTACCAAACAATGAGTACTGGCACAAATTGTTTGCGTCAAAATGCACTGAGTACCATATTTGATGAATTTCAGAGCAGTTGAGTACCAAGGTACCACTGTACTGAGAAAGTCACAGGCAGAGTTAACATACACTAAATAGAAAGACTACTTTTTATAAGAGTTTATTTTCTAGAATCTATATTTTTCTAGCTCTCAGATTGCAATATTTCATTACTGGTAAAACTCAATTCCCTTTCTCTTAATTTCTCAGCATTATCTTTGGATGCACAGTGTTCCCTGTTATTTGTCATATCAGAGGTTCAATGCACATTCTAACGTATCCAGAAAAAGACAAATGCAGTGTAATTATGGCTTTTGGAAAATAGAAAAGGAAAATAGGATAAAATAGAGATGTTTTTGTTATCCCACAATAAGGAGTCAGAAAAAACCAGTCAGTGAAGAGTAGAAGTGATTGCTGTAATAAATGTTAGGAATAAAGCTAAAGCTACTATTTTTCTGTCTTAGCAACCATAGAATTTTAATAGGTTGTTTCTGCAGTCCTTCTGCAGTGAAACAGCAGTGACTTTGATCAGCAAGCTATGCTTCACATTTCTCTTGTTGAATCAGTTTCTACTGTCAAATTCAAGCTCACATACTGACATTTAGACTTATTTTATTAATCCTGTTAGGTACTTAATTTTTTTTTAATTATACCGATGCAAGACCAATATTTTTAAAAATATTAATGTGGAACAGGAAGTTGATATCTACAGAATCTCCTGCAATCTAAAATTATCTCTTGTAAGTTTGCTTTCTCAAATGTTTCTGTTGCAAGGAAGTTTTATTCTCACACAGTAACGAAATCAGCACCATTTCTGATGTCCCAATTAGGAGATGCCCCAACTAGGAGAAGGTGCATCCTCTTTATAGAAATAGAGAAAATCTTGCTGGAAATTTTTTAATAAACTTGATTGGGGAAAAAAAGATTAAGACTGGTTTTCATAAACTTGCTTATGAACATTGACAAGATAGAAATCAAACACCTAAAAACCAAGGAGTGTACTATGATTTTTGATTTCTCCAAGGGATTGATGGGAGAGATAGGAGAGATAAATAGCATCTTAGAACAGATAGGAGAGATAAATAGCATCTTAGAGAAGTTAGAAACCATTTTTGCTCCAGCTAATCAGGCAAATCTATATTAAAGCTAGTGGTGAATATTATGACCACAATTGAACCCAACATTTCTGTTGCTAAGCAAGACATTTGTTAAGTGAATTTGCCCCATTTTGCAACCTTTCTTCTCATAGTTGTTAAGTGAATCACTACAGTAGTTAGGTTAGTAACACAAGTGTTAAGTGAACCTGGCTTCCCCGTTGACTTTGCTTGTCACAAGTTTGCAAAAGGTGATCGCATGACCTTTGCATGACGCTGCAACTGTCATAAATATGAACCAGTTGCCAAGCATCCAAATTTTGATCACATGACTATTGGGCTGCTGCAATGCTTGAAAGTGTGAAAAACAATCATAAGTCACTTTTTTCAGTGCCATTGTAACTTTGAACAGTCACTAAATGAACTGTTATAGGTTGAGGACTGTATTAAAGATTGGAGTAACTCATCAGATTCTGGCAGTTCTAACTGCTAGCAGGTTTCAAGGGCTATTTTTTTACTCTATGATCTGCAACTGAACGTCTGTTTTTTGCTCAGTGTTTTGGTTCTAATTGGTAGTACCTTTGTAGCAAATCTCCTTTTCTGACTGTCTCAAGCTCTTTCATAGGAGACCGGGGCCCAGAATTTTATCTTCTAACTCTCTTCCCAAATCACACGTTTAGTAATAAAAATAACTTATTCAACCGCAATAACATATGCTGCATTTTTCTTTATAAACATGGCCCAGATCATAGATGTTTCTGGATACTTCAGTTTAAGAATTTGATTGATCCTATATAAAAAGGATCAAGAAAATATGCAATTATACAGATAAGCCCAGTTAAAACTGAAATGCCTGGTTCGTGCTGCTCCAGGCAACCCATTGGAATGGGGAAGGTCTGTGAAAGAATTTCCTGATGAAAGAAAGGAAATTGTTTCCATCTGTTCCTTAGATTTGTTTATACCAGTCTGATCAGTTTCTGAGTAAAATAATAATATATATTACCAAAACAAACCCCTCACTCACATTCTTGACCATGAAGACGGAAATCCTTCTTGCAAGCAAGATAAATGTTGAGTGAATAGAAAATAAAATTTTATTTGTCTTGTTTTAGATAGCTAGCATAATCTCAATACTTCTGCTATCCAACATTAATCATCATCATCCTAGTGATCCTCATCCTCTAAAATAATGTTTCTCAAACTTTTTCTCCTATGTCCCCCATCAGGGCCTGGATACGGATATGGAACATACCTGGTGCATTTTTTCACATCAGCAATATAGTATCTGATATTCTTAGCTTCCTTTAAGAATCCTAGCTGAGAACCAGTGTGCTCTACAGCACCTCAGTTTTACGTAACTCACCTGTTGTGTAACAATCCACAATCACTTGGCCCAATCACTTGATGCAAATATGTTGCATCTATGATACTATAATATATACCCAATTTGCATTTTCGCTACTAGGCTGGCTGGCAGATCTTCAAAATAGGATTTCTCAATGGTGATCCTCAGTTTTATAACTCTGTCCTTGAAAAGATTCTGTATGTAATGTATACCATATGCTTAAATAATAAGTATTTCTAGTACAAAAGTACAAATAAAAGTACAAACCCTAACCCTTGCTATAGTCCTAAAAATAAAATTGAAATTCTGTTACAATTCCTACAATACACTGTTATAGCTGTATTGTGTGCTTAATTTAGTTTAATATTAATGTTTTTTAGAAATCTGATTGATAAACAACAACAAAATATTTATTAACTAAGCAATATTTAGGAATAATTTTACTGTCTAACGGCAGTATTATCTCTGTAATTCATGAATGGGGTATAATTTCTGGGCAGCAGAACTGAGGAAATCCTCTAAAATAACAATTGAGAATTAAGTTACTTTTTAAGAATTGAGAACTGTTATTTATTACAAATTGTAATTGATGTTTATTCTCACAAACTCTCTGTCTCTCTCATGTAAATTCTAGGCCCCTACAGGAGTTGCTACATCATATCCCACTTCATCAACCATCTTCCCCAGTCCTGTTGGGAACTCAGAGAAAACCAGACTATCCAACAATGTTTCCATCCAGACCTTCTCTTTAGAAAAAGCCATTCCAACTTCTAACAGTCTTCTGGGAAAAGATTTGGGGAAGGTGCCACAAGTTATCCCTGTTCCAACTGGCATTCCCATCAATGGTAGTCTTACTGCAGTTCTGACAGCTCCTGCTATGGTACCTAGTACTCCTGCCCCTACACCAGGTAAGAGCAAACTTCCTTCTTTAAATGTTCTTAACCAGGATCCAAATTCTGGATTCTCTTAACATTGGTATTGTCAACAATGCTTGGAAGATAATTTTGTTATGGCCTATGGGCTAATCAATAAACTAAACTGACTAAACTAGCTAGTTTGGAAGATAACTTTTTCCCAATACTTTTATAAAAACAGCAAATTTTATCTTAGCTCAAAAACAGATCTTTTGATTCTGTTGTACCAGATCTGAAGACAAATTAAGGAGGCATACGTTTTGATTATTTTCTAGTTTCATTCTCTATTGACCCAGTATGTCTTTAAAATTCTTGTGTGCAACTATTATCCTTGTTTTAGCCTCCTAAAAAAAAACTGAATAAAAAAAATAAGATTAACTCTTTCTCCATGAATTTATTCAGTACTCAGGAATATGGATGGTGGCCTGGCTTTGAACTATTTAAAATCCAGATGTATTCTTATTAATATGTCTTGCTCTTCTTTCTTTGCAAATGTTGGCTGTTATTTGCTTTCCTCATCTGGCTGTTGCAAGGGAGCTATTTAAAGAGACTTGTATTGCTTTCCTTAAATTGAAACAAGATTTGATTATCAGCTTCAGTGCTAACTGTCTATATCCAAATATTCAAAATACTACAGAGTCATGGTTCTGTGAGCTCTGACTACATACTTGGACTTTAAAATGTTTTTCAATTTCCAACTCAGAATTCTGACCCTTTGCACATTTATAGAAGTCTGAGATCCAGGCACCGGGGTAGAAAGTGATGAGAACCTGTGGGTAGTTTTGGGGGAGCATCCCAGAAGGATGATTGAGGTGCCAGTTTTTTGTTTGTTTTTTGTTTGTCTGTGTTTTAGTGATTTTATTGTTTGGAACTGCACTAAGTTGTTCTCTAACATGAGCAGCCATGCAAGTCTTTTAAATAAATAAGGTTCACATTGAATAAATCAAGATTCCTGCCTCTCCTTGCCTGAGAAATAAAACTCATATTCTCTCCTGAAATGTATCTAGTTTAGCTGGTCTTGTTTGTTACATACTTCCTAACAAATCTCCTTGGTTCAGGGCACAGTGTTCAAACTAGTTTCTCCAGAAGAGCAAAGTTTTTAATCTTCTGTATTAGCTTGGGGTGGGGCAGTAAAATGTTTTGAGAGATGGGTATTATCTACAAGCCTGAGACCATAATGTACAGAATATTGTAGCATATTAATTGAGAAGCAGATCACAATCCGATAAAAGTTGTATGGAAAGGACAAAAAAGAAAATTGAGATGGACATTGAATCAAGCGATATTGCAAGATAAAGAATTTATACAAAATATGGAAAAAGAAATGGACTTCTTTTTCAAAGAGAACAGGAAAGAAGAGACTTAGACTATATACTTTATTTTACATGTATTAACTGCAGCTAGAATTGTATATGCTCAATAATGGAAGTCTGATGAGATCCCAACAGATGAGAGTGTAATTAAGAAAATATTAGAATGTGCAGAAATGGATAGACTAACGCTTACTATTGAGGACAAAGAAGAAACTGAATACTTTTTGACATGGGACTTATTTTACCAATGGTTAGACAATAAAAACAGAAGTTAGAAATGCAGGGACATAAAAAGGATAAATGTTAAAATGGAAATTCGATAAAATAGACAAGCTAAATATTATTGTTATTGTTATTATAGTATCAATGTTATTGTGATGAATGTTATTGTAAGCATTTTGATTACGATTGCCTAAAAACAACTGTACCCAGACAACACACTGTTTGATTGAAATGGAATTTTTACATGTTATTCAAATAAAGTAAATAAAACATTTTTAAAAAGTGAATTGTCCCCAATTCTGCTCTGTGTTTGAATGTTAATTTTCCTCCACAGTTATTAAGAAATTGGCAGTTTCTGCTGGAGACAGTGTCCAGGTGACCCTGCCAAAAAATGAAGTGGAACTGAATGCATATGTCCTACCTCCACCACCTAAAGGTAGGAGCTGAACAGTCCTATTCAGAATTTGGTAACCCTTGCAAGTTTGTTTGGTAAATGTGTGTAATTCAAAATGGAAGATGAAGCTAGGAAGCCTGGCCAAATCTATTTTGGCAATCAAGACTTATTCACATAAATATGGCAGCATAAAGAAAACCATTGTTCTGCATAAGCTCCTCCCACATTGGCATTACATTTTGAATAATTTTTGACATGCAAATATAAGCCCTTCCCATAATCTCTGATCTTCTTCCACTAGGAAGTAGCTATTCCTATGATTGGAGATTGATTACGCACCCAAAGGATTATAGTGGAGAGATGGAAGGACAGCATTCTCAGATTCTCAAGTTGTCCAAGGTGAGTCTGCCTAGAAAGAACCACAGGTAGGAGTGTCATTGTAAAGATTCAGATGAACGTGGCAACAAATAAAAACATTGTTGTCCATGTGTTTATCAAGGTTAAATGAATGAAACAAGAATGCAAGAGCAACAGATTTAAGGATCATGAGTATGTAAAAATCGCAGAATGAGAATGCAAGCTAGTTTAACATGCATTACTTTTTTAGTTTATGTGAAGAACGCTTTTAAACAACAACATGTTCCATGGGAGCAGCAGCATATAAAACAGTTTGAAGCTTTTCATTATTTTCATCCCATTTTATCTGAATCTTTCCTTGGCTCCTAAAAGTTCCCTGAGCACGTGGCAACATCTTTTGGTGACTACAGCTCATGATGGAAGTGGTGGAAAGAGAGGAGGACAGTATTGTAACAAGGCCTGCCTCAGACGTGCTGCCAATATTCCTTGTGATTGATTTTCCTTTTAATATATCATCATAGCCTTGCCCTTTTCTTAACAATCCCTGCTCGTTTTGTTTGGCAGCTCACAGTTGGCCTATATGAATTCAATGTGATAGTAGATGGTGATAACGCACACGGAGAAGGAATGGTGAATGTGACGGTTAAACCAGGTATGCTCAATGATTGCTTCAAACTCCTTCTGTTCTGCATTGTCTTCCCAGGTCTTATTCTTCCAGTTTTCTGTCTTTGTAAACATTTGAAAAGCAAGCTAGGTGGCCCAAATTATCGCTGACCTGAATATTTTTTAAGCAAAATGTTTGACTCGGTTTTGAGAGAGGAAAAGGAGTGTGTCATTATCACATTCTTTTCACCTCTTTTCCCTTTCTGTACTTTGTGTGAGCAGCAGCAGTGTGTCTGTTGGTGGTTGTTATATAATTTTTTTGGCAATGCTTCTTCATGATGTGAGATCATACCCAGGGAGCAATTTGAGCATGAATAATAAATATAAACCACTTTCTGCCCCTCTGAAAACACTAGGCTTGTCTTGAACTGCAGTTGCTGTCTTGGGTTTATCCAGTGATGTAATTCTTTGAAAAGAGACAGGTTAAATTTTGACAAGCCACCACTTTCACAACACAAAACTCACATCATACTGGATTTAGTGCCCTTTGAGGCAAAACACAGACCTCTGAAATCTTATTATGACCAGCATCTAACCATTCTGTGTCCTGATTCTCTTAGGAATTCTTATTCCTTTCCTTTGCATGTACTCAAGAGAATCTCTCTCAGGGGTTTTGTTCCATCTGTCCGATGAAGTGGGCTTGATGCATAAAGCTTATATGAAAATAAGTTAGCTAGGATGCAACAGACTGTTTTTTATACCAGCAGTCTAATAAGACTGCCTGCTTTTGGAAGTGTTTACTGTTTACCACTAATTATTTTATGTTAGGCAATACAGCATTGAATAAATGGTGTTGCCTTGGTTATGAATTGCAAAAGCTCTATAGAGCTTTTGTTCTGTCTTGTTATTTTAAATACTCCCTATTATCCATCGGAATACTTGCACGGCATTACTTGCAAAAGATGATTCTTAGTATAAGGGCAGCCAGAGTGGATATCTCTAATGAATTGCAGTGGGCAGCCAGCATTGCTAATCCAGAATTTAGGACTACTATGTTCAAATTATCCATTATTCCCTATTTTGCATTTAGAAAGTAATTTAACATCTGAATACTACAAACATTAATATGAGAGCATGTTACATATATGCAGCCAACTGAGGACACCCTTGCTTCTCTACCCACTCTTTGAAAAATGTTAGACGCTTCATCCAGAGGCTGTAGAGAACGGTTATAATACTACCCTAACTTAATGGTGGGACTGTTTGCCTTACTATCAGGATTTTGAAGCTGAAAAGTTGCTGTAACCACCTAATGATTTTACATTTTACAAACATTTCTAGATAATTCAGACTTTTTAATAGATTCTTTGATTAATCCTTACAATAGCCTTTAAAGATAGAATAGCACATTGCACAGTGAACAGGAAAGGGTGTTGGAGCTCCAGAGGGTTCTATCTTAAGGTTGTCTAGCAAGCACAATCCAGAAGCAACATTGAGTTTTTGTGGTTCTTATTTCTACCACTATGCTCCAACTGAATGAAATGGATTTCTAAAGGAGATGGCATGTGCCACGAATATCTTCTAATATCTTCTTAGGGAAATTGTCATATTTCTTTTGTCACTGCAGAGCCTCGAGTAAATCAGCCACCTGTGGCCATTGTGTCACCCCCATTCCTGGAGATCTCTCTTCCAACCACCTCAACAGTCATTGATGGCAGCCGTAAGTACTCAAATGTCAGACACAGGCAATCAGAGACCGTCATGGATAGCTACTAACTTTATTGTCTACCACCGGTGTTATAGGAATCTCTCCAGACTGCTTGCCTTCCCCTGGGAGGAACAAGATAAGGCTTCACGGCAGGGGTGAAATCCAGCAGGTTCTAACAGGTTCTGGAGAACCGGTAGTGGAAATTTTGAGTAGTTTGGAGAACCGGCAAACACCACCACTGGCTTGTCCCACAATGGGGTGGGAATGGGGATTTTGCAGTATCCTTCCCCTGCCATGCCCACCAAGCCACGCCCACAGAACCGGTACTAAAAAAAATGAATTTCACCACTGCTTCATAGATCTTGGGGGAGGTCAACCTTATGCCACTTGCAGCTGTGCAGTGACTCCAAGCTAGGCCCTTGCTTGACCCCTCCTTGCAGCCTAACTGGCAGTTTCCAAGCATCAACCCAACCATTGCAGTCTGTTCATCAGAAAAGTTAGGGAAGGCAACAATGATTCACTAAGCAAAAAGGAACACAAGAGATATCCCTTGGAGCACGTCAAGTGTTACTCACTTCTTGGATTTCCTATCTACAAGCCATAACTGCCAAATGCATAATTTAATGTCTGAAAGACTCTCACACACAAAATTAAACACTGCTTTTCAGTTTCCTGGTTCTAGTGTTAAACTTCATGCTGCCATATTTTCAGGAAGAGATTCTGACACCTGTTCAAAAATAAGCTCTATTTTCCCTTTTCCTTTTCAATAACAAAGAAAGCCATCATAAAAGGATTTCTGTGTTCAAATGGTTGCAAATGATGAGGATATAAAAGATCATCAACTTGTATGTTAGCTCTTTCTACTAAATGGCTTTAATTCCTCAAAGTATTTTATGCCAGCCTTCTATACTCTTGCTTCCCCTAAGTACAAGTAGTTCTCGATTTACCAACATTCGTTTAGAAATTATTCAAAGTTACAATAGCATTGAAAAAAAGTGACTTATACTTTTTTCCTTGCACTTACAATCATTGCAGCATCCCCATGGTCACATATGATCAAAATTCAGGTACTTGGCACCTGGTATGTATTTACATTGGTTGCAGTATCCTAGGATCATGTGATCACCATTTGCGACCGTCCCAGCTGGCTTCTGACAAGCAAATTCAATGTGATACGTCAAGGACAACCTGTATATTGGGATGGTATCTCCTAGCCTTTTCAACCAGCTCAGCTAAAAGAATTCTGGAGATTGCTTCAAAGGTGCCTTTTTCCCCCCAAAGGCAACTGGATTGTTTTTTCCTTGAGGAAGACGAAGAAAAGCTTAAGTAGGGGTAAAAGAATCCCCCTAAGTTAAAATTGAATACCCCTCCCTCAAGAGAGGGGGAGGAATAAGACACCATCTGTCTCCAGTCTACAATGCAGCCCTTGCAGCTGTTTCCACAACCAATTGCACCCTGATTCAGGTGAATCTGAGAGCACAGATAAACCCCCAAGTGGCCTCACACAGCTCTCAGAGAGAGTACTAATGACCAGGTGACTGCGAAGAAATACAAGCCTTCCATACCCTCTTCTTCCATCCTATCAGAACCTGCCCTTCCATCCCCCACCATCCAGTTTCAACTATTAGTACCTATCCTTCCATCCCCCCCTCCCCACCATCTGAACTGATGAAACTTCTTGGATAAGAAGGGAAATGTTTTCTTCTTCTTCAAGGAAAAAAGACTCCAGTTGCCTTTTGGGGGGAAAAGCACCTTTGGGACAACTGTGACTTGGATGATTGAGAATCTCCACAGACAAGTCTGGAGATTGCTTCTTCAGCACTTCCAAAGGCCATTGGTTTGGGGAAGACTGTTTTAGAAAGACATAGCCTATTAGACATGTTGGCAAGAATTATCTCTGGGCTATTCAGAGTCTCATCTTCGTTTTTTTCTTGCCCCACTCATGACATTCTGGAGATTGAAACTGGAATCAAATATATCTATAAGACAGCTTCTCTCCATGGGCTCTTGATCATCCCCTGAAAAATCTAATGATTGCTATAGCACCGTGACGGCGAACCTATGGCACGCGTGGCACACGTAGCCATATCAGTGGGCACGCCAAGTCAGCTCTGGGGCGCATGTGCGTGCCGGCCAGCTGATTTTCGGGCCTTCTGGGCCCACCAGAAATAGGGAAACAGGCTGATTCCTGCCTCCGGAGGACCTGGGAGGTGGGTGGGGAAGGCCCGTTTTTCTTTCTTACCTGGCTCCAGATCTTCTCTATGCATCTGGGAAGGCAAAACAGCCTTTCCCACTCCCTCGGAGGCCCTCCAGAGGCCTGAAACGGCCCATTTCCCAACTCCCAGTGGGATAGGAAGTGACTTTTTTGCTGTCCCCAGCCTCCAGAGACTCCTGGAGAGGCCTCTAGAGGCTCGGTACAGCAAAAAAGTCACTTCCTGTTCCATCGAGAGTTGGGAAATGGGCCGTTTCAGGCCTCCTGAAGGCCTCTGAGGGAGTGGGAAAGGCTGTTTTTGCCTTCCCAGATGCATAGAGAGGATCTGGAGCCAGATAAGAAAGAAAAACAGGCCTACCGGGCCATCGCATGCCAGAAGCTGGGGAGGGGGGGGTGCGCGCGCAGGGCAGGGCGCATAGAATTATGGGTGTGGGCACACGTGCGCGAGTCTCCCCCGCCCCCCCTCTCCTGGCACGCGATGGTAAAAAGGTTAGCCATCGCTGCTATAGCATCATTCTTGGAAATTAAATTATTGTGGCCTGTGATAGGGTCTATAATTTTAAGTAGATTTGACTATTGTATTGCATGTTTATGGAGAAAGTGGCCTGTAAAATAACACATTATCTGTGTTTACTGGACCAGAAAGTACTGATGATGACAAAATAGTCAGCTATCACTGGGAAGAACTAAAGGGGCCTCTTCGAGAAGAGAAGGTATCTGCTGATACAGATATTCTGGAACTGACCAACCTGGTACCAGGAAATTACACATTCCGGTAAGTCAAGAGTTCCTACCTCTGATTATACAGTGTTATTTTAATTACATAATAAGCTTAGCAACTAAATCAATTTTAAGAACAGCAACGCTGTTTTTACCCACAATGTTATTTTATTTTTGTTAGCCTGTGTAGGTGGTCTGCTTATATAAGCATATACACCTCAGTTCACATAATCTGGCAAAGCTGCTACTAGCATCATTCTGGATCCAGGAGGCTGTTGCTGCATTCATAAAACAGTTGGGTCCCACATTATGTTGCTTTTAGTGAGTTAGGAACATTAGTGAAAGAATATCCAATGGCTCATCATCCCTCATTATTTCCTTCTAAATTTCTCCCTTCCTCCCTCTCCTCTACCTGGCCTGCATCTATTTTTTTTTTTAAAAAAAAGCGTTTACATACTTGTTTGTTTAACTGAAGTTTCAGATGGATATTCTTAAGGGTTATCAAAACACCGAAAATGAATAATAAAATAATGAAGATATCTATAAATTAGCTTCTTTTGTAAAAGGGTCAAATTTTCTAGAGATATTCTGCAGCAATTCTCTGTTGTTTGGGCTATCGGTAGTTCTAGGTTTATCTGTTTTTATGGATGGGGGGATTGCACACCACGCAGTGTCCATCGGATTTGGGCAGCTATAATATATTTAAATAAATAAGGCATCAGGAAGAGCATCCGGCCAGTAAACACTCAGCTCCATTCAGTGGTCCAGCCTCTACCCCGATGAAAGGGATTACAGGGTCCTAATTAGAAATAGATAAATATTAGAAAAAATATTATTATTCAGTTTTCTTTGTATTTAGTCTAGCTGGCTTCAATTTAATAGCTAAAGGATAAGGATTACTCATTGGTATAGCTGCTGTTTGCTTTGTAGAAGAAATGTTTTAAGCTTAAAAAGCTTTTTTCCACCTTTTGATCAGTGGTAGGATGATATGCTTCAGATGTTCTTCTCTGAAAAGCTGTTTCCTGGGTTGCTTTGCCAATGATTTTAAATAATGAACTGTTTGCGTGGCTCTGTAACAGACCCCTCCATAAGTGAACAGACAGATTATCAAATAGCAAATAGCCTATAAAATGTGACGGCTTAGATTTCATCTGTGCATTTGAAACCAGCAGTGAATCTTGGATCATGTGCTAGTCTTAATTGCCAAGTTGTTTCTTTATGCTTCTTTTTTCATGCTTAGCAAGGCTTTTGAGCTGTTTCTGAAAGGATTTCTTTGGCACTTTTAAGGAACACTTTAAAAATGTATTTACTTTGGCAGTGAATACTAGCTTGAAACTGGTAATTGCAAAGAAGCCTTATTATTCATGAGACTCATATACACAGAAGTGCCTGCACTAGGCTGCCACAGATCTAAAACCAAATTATTCACAAAACCTTTTTGGTCACTTCTTCCACCCATCTTATCCGAATTGTTCCTTTAATTTCACCTTATTTACAGGGCATTGGCAAATGCTTAATGATATAAAATTGCCACACCACACAAGTCTTATGTCCTCTGGAACTGAATTCTGAAATTTATTTTAAATGATTTATGGCATTAATATTTTAACAGATTTATTAATAGAATATCCAGATGATATAAAATTACCATCATGAAGCTTGGTATTAATATAATAACATTTAAAAAATAGCAGTGCATTCGATATAATTCCACCAGTACAAGGCAATCTCCCAGATCATAGCAAGAAAGTATAATAAAAGCTTTGATTAAAAGATCATTGGTATAGGTAGGCTTTTGAAGTAGCCAACTGCATATCCATTAGGGAAGAGACCTGTTCAATAACGGCCACTGTTAAGAAGTCCCCTGAGTCCCTGGATGCCAGCCAGCCCTCGCTAATTGAGGCTTGGTGCCTTGTAGAATCTCTTGGTGCATTGTGGAATCACAAATGATGTATCTTCAATGCAAAGAGTGGAAAATTCCATACTGCTTGTTAGGCAGCTCCTAACTTTCCTGTGAATAGAAATGCAGGGCTTCAGAGTTACTCTGTAAAGCTGTGTGTCATGCAATTAGCCAGCAGTTAGAGCTGCTCCCAGAAGTACTAATATTTACTTAAATTTCGGTTTCATGCAGCATGGGAAACAAATAACCATTATAGACAGGGATGTTGCCACACATGTTCAAATAAGCACCATCTCAACATTTCAGTCAATTCTGTTAGGAGCTAATAAACGCAAGTGAAAAACGTCAGAGGTAACATGCTTCTGATTGCCAGGTTCAGCTCTGATCACTGCCTGCGAAATTGTGCCCATTCAGGCTTGATCTTTAAACTTCCTCATTATCTCTCCCATTTTAGCCTCACTGTGGTGGATTCTGATGGGGCTAGCAACTCCACCACCGCTAGCCTGACAGTAAACAAGGCAGTGGATTACCCCCCTGTGGCAAATGCGGGCCCTAACCAAGTGATCACTCTGCCTCAAAATGCCATCACCCTTTACGGAAATCAGAGCACGGATGACCACGGCATCGTCAGCTACGAATGGTCCCTCAGCCCCAACAGCAAAGTGAAGGTAGCAGAAATGCAGGTAAGATCGCCAGGACCCCCGTTTCAGTGAGACCCTAAACCTTTTCTTCTTTTTTTTTTGAAAATTTTTTAAATTTTTATTTCTTATACAAATAATGTAAATATACATTCTTTTATACATAATTAATCATACATATATATATTTTCTTAAAGAAAGCATACAAATAAGACATTTTAATTGCATTCGGGGTTGCTTTTCTACTCTTTCTTTTCCCTCGTTTCACAACAAACCTTCTTCTTCTCCTTCCTTTCCCTTCCCTCCCTCCCTCCCTCCTCTCATCTTCTATTTTCTTTTACTTTCTTCTACTTTCTCCTCTCCTTCCTCTTTCCTACTTCCCCTTCCTTTCCCCCACTCCTCCCCTCTTTCCCCCTATTCTCTCCTCTCCTACTCATCTCCCCTGCCCTTTCTTTCTCTCCTTTCCCCTTTCTTCCATTCCTCTCTTTCCCTTTCCTCTTCATACCCTCTATTCCTCTCTCCTTTCTTTCTTCTTTCTTCTAAACCTTTTCTTAATACTCTTTACAGTTCAACTTGAAAAAAAAATGCACTAATTTTTGTAAACAGCTGGCAATTAGTGTCCAATATTTGCTTATATAACAAATGATTCTACATTATTAAGAAATAATATGGTTCTTAATGTTAACATTTGTGTTCAAGACACACTAGTGGGCAGGCTTTAAATTGGCTGCAGTCTCATGCCCCTTTTATTTTCAAGGAATTTTATGGCCTAGTGAATATCCATCTCCCTCTGCTTTTTGATAAATGTAATGAAAATAAATGTGTCTCATGCACTCTCTCAAATAGTGGACATTTTGGTTCAATCCATAGAAAAGGTGGGTAAATGGTTAGGTTTCTCTCCTGCCGATGTTGTTGCATTTCTGGCTGCATTGGTTCCTGTTCCTCTCCCAGATCAGAATTGCCACGCATATAAGTGCCCTAGGCTAGCTTTCTTCACCAAATCTGCATGATATCTAAGATTCCCAGATTAGCTTTTATTTAAGTGTATTCAGGGGTGAAATCCAGCAGGTTCTGACAGGTTCTGGAGAACCAGTAGCAGAAATTGTGAGCAGTTCGGAGAACCGGCAGCGGAAGTTTTGAGTAGTTCAGAGAACTGGCAAATACCACCTCTGGCTGGCCCCAGAGTGGGGTGGGAATGGAGATTTTGCAATATCCTTCCCCTGGAGTGGGGTGGGAATGGAGATTTTGCCATATCCTTCCCCTGCCACACCCACCAAGCCATGCCCACCAAGCCACGCCCAGAGAACCGGTAGTAAAAATATTTGGATTTCACCACTGAATGTATTCCATAGTTTTGAAATAAGAGCTATAAATTGTGCTTATTTGAGGTGAAACCCTTGGATTCATTCTGGCCACCCAAGATGAAAAGTTTAATCAGCCTTCCTTATCTCTCTGCTGTACTGAGTTGAGGAATCAAAGCAGGGATAAGCAATTTGTGGTTCTCCAGTTGCTGAACTATAACTTGTGACATCCCTCAGAAATACAGCTAGTGGTGAGGGATGTTGGAAATTGAAGTTCAGCAACAACTGAAAGATTGCGAGTTTTTTGTTCATGGACTACAGACTGGCTGGAGATATTGGGAGCTGTAATCTGTCACTTCTTGCTTGATGGTAGCAATGGTAACAGTTCCCTGTTCAAGCTAGGCAAGTTCCAATTTGGTGACGTCCATACCCTCTGCAACATGCTGCCTTTGCAAGCATGAAAAGGAGGCCATACTTTGTTATTTCTTGCCCCAGGATGTTGATTCAAAATAATGAAATGCTTAGTAATATATTGAATGCTGTTTTCTCCTCCTCCTCCTCCAATTCATAGGGGGTAAGGACTTCAACTCTGCAGCTCTCAGCCATGCGTGAAGGTGACTACACCTATCAACTGACAGTGACAGATTCTGCTGGACATCAGTCCACTGCTGAGGTCACCGTGATTGTACAACCTGGTAGGTCTCCTTTCAAAACAAATTGTTTTGCAGAAGCAGTTTTTCTCTCCTACTCCCCCCCTCGTCTTTTTATTCTACTTAGTTTTCCTTTTTCTTATACTTTTTGTTATTCTTTGAATGTCTAATGGTTAGATAAGAAAGACAGAAGTTAGAAAGGGAGACAAATTAAAAGAGGGAATCCTAATGAGGAGAATTGTTAAAGAAGAGGATATTAAGTATCATTATGATTATATTATTATGTTCTTGTATTACTACTATTATTGTGAGGAATGCTATAACAAAAATGAATACTATGATTGATGAAACATTACTGTACCCAGACCAAACACTGTTTGATGAAAACCGGATTGAATATAAATAAAAATTAATAAAACATGAAAAAAACAAATCATTTTGCATAAGGGAATGCAAAATGCAAATCCCTATTACATCCCAGAAATCTAGTTATGAAGATGGTTATGGACCAGATGTAGAGTAGTGGGAGGCTTCTTGAGTATCCGCCTACAGGGGTGCATGCTTTTAAAATACTATTGGTGCAAACAATGGAACTTAAAAGCACTTGACTTCTTTTAAAAAAACATTTCCCCCAAATAATGTTCTACCATCCATTCTCCCCACCAATCCCCTCCCAGACTACTTAAAGAATAAAAAGTAGCATTTGAAACTCCCTTGGGCTTTAGAAATGGCATGTTGCATAGCACAAAGAATTACTGGGGGAAAAAATCTAAATGTTTGCTGGAAAGCAAAGAGATAAGCCTGTACAGTAGTTTCTGTACTGTATATTGAGGTCTTTAAGGGAAATCTGTTAAAACTCTGCTCACCTACTTCTATGGGCTCTCTATGTGCTTATATGTTAGGTTGAAATGTAGGGCAGATATGGAATGGAAAACTCTATACTATGAGACAATGGGTATCGTTTGCTGGATATGCCACTCTCTAGGTCAAGATCTTATCTCATATAGAGAGAGAATTAGAAGGCTGAGCCACATGCATCTCCACCCTCATTTTTGTGATTCTAGAATGCCCTACGATCATTATCCCAAACGTCAGTAGGATATTGTCTATTTTTGATGGCACATTTTTATTTTTATTTTATTTTATATTTTGACAAAAAAGAACATGAATAAATATCTGAATCTGAACAGGCAAAACATGCTTATTTTTATTTTTAAAACAGTTCGTTTTTTGAACAGTTTTTTAAACAGTTTTTAAAACAGTTCAAATCCTCAAAAAAAGAAAAAGAAAAAAAGAAACCAACAACAGACCTGCCAACAATATTGACCATGTACCCTCTAGGGAACTCAGAATTATGTCATGCCCTTTTCCCTTTGGCCCTCAGGAACTCTCTTCGTGTGTGTGTGAAGTGCAATTCCTACCAACAAAATAAATGCCTGTCTTCTGGAGAGAATATTATTATTCTGCTAATGCCACAAAAAGGAGATCTAGGTTTAAGTTCTCACTGTTGTCTAGGCCTCTTACAATCTCTCAGTTGGATTTACAGAATACTTCCTTGTTCACCCAGTAGAAGATGATTATGTTAAATAAATATATAAATCCCATAAAAAGTGAGTGAAACAAGATATTGCAGTACCCAAGTAAATTTATAATGTGTAACTTAACTTTATATTTTACAGACTGTTTATGAAAAATCCATAATTCAGGACATTGAATGTGCCTTGCATGTAAAAAGGGCCTTGTTTGATTCTAAGCCTTCCTGCTTAAAGCATCTTGACTTAGCAGGGACAGAAAAGAGTCATATTTGAAAATTGGGGTGAAGGGGGACTGGCAATTAATCTAATAATTAATCCATTTAGGGCCGCGCCCTAAAAATGTTTTTATTCCAACAGGCTGGTCTGGCCTAACTCTCCTTTTAAATTGGGTTTTAAATGTTTTACATAAATTGGATGTTTTTTAAATTTGTTTCTTGAACCCAAATTATTTAATCTATTTTGAATAGCTTTTAACTTTTGTATGTTTTTTGTATTTTTACCTTGGCTGTTCACCGCCCTGAGTCCTCCGGGAGTAGGGCGGTATACAAATATGATAAAATAAATAAATAAATAAATAAATTATTGCCAGTCACTTGGATTCCAGTGGGATAATGGTCTGACCTCCTATAAATCAATTTTATTTGTGTTTATTCATCTTTTTACCTCTCGTTATAAGCATTCTGCTACATTCTTGGTCTTTTTAATTTCTTTTTTCTTCTTCACGTTTTATTGTTTTTTGTTGTTTTTATATAACAAATTCCATTTCTAAATTGAACTGTGTGTTTTCTAGGTAACAAAAGTGTTAAAATTCAAACATCCTCATAATCATTATAATCCTATTAACATACAAACATATAGTAGATACTATCAATCATTGTTATAAAGTATACTATCTTCCATATTAACATCAATTATATAAGCATCAAAATGTTTACTAATCAATTTTTCTTTCTCGTATAATCCATATTTCATATAAACCCATCCACCTGATCTCTGTATCTATCGACTAACCATTTGTAAAAAAAATTCCCATGTCATAAAATATTCAGAATCTTCTTTTTCTTTAATTTTTAGCATTAACCTATCCATTTCTGCACATTCCATTATTTTTTTGATTATATTCTCATCTGTGATGGTTTGTTGATTTTTCCAATATTGTGCGTATGCAATCCTACCTGCTGTTAAAATATGTATATGTGTTACTCAGAAAACAATAAGCCTCCCAGGGCAGACGCCGGTCCAGACAAAGAACTCATCCTACCTGTGGACAGCACCACTCTGGATGGCAGCAAGAGCTCAGATGACCAAAAGATTGTCTCCTTCCTTTGGGAGAAAACACAGTATGTCGCTCTTTTCTCTCACGCTTGATGGTTGTTCTTTTGTATGGAATTTTTTTTTACATATTTACTCTGTTCCGCTTACTTAAGTAAGGTCTTTTCTGAGCTGGGATCTTGAGATAGGCCTGAGAATCCATAAATTACTTGCCACCTCCCAGACTGAACTGTTGTAGATTATCTTGAGTATGATGTTGAATATTTAAGCTGCTAACTTTGGAGCACCTTGTATTCCCACCAAGGCAACCTTCTCTGGAGCAGTCAAGACTTCCTTCCATATGACCTAAGATATGCAGTAGAACAGCAATCCCCAACCTTTCTGAGTCTGCAGACTGGCAGGGGCGGTGGGGGGGATGGTTTTGTGCATGTGCCTGCCACTTGCACAAATGGGAGCTTTGCGTGTTTGTGCAGACCAGTTTCCAATGGGTCATGGACTGGTACCGGGCCGTAGACTGGGGGTTGGAAACCGTGTGGTAGAATATGTTTTTCTGTCTAAAATTAGGGATAATCATCTTGGAGGCAGGAGGAAGAATCTTTTTTTTAAAAAAAATTGTCATGGGATTACCTAATTAGTGTTGACTTCAGGCTCCCAGAAACCTAAATTGAGAAACAAATACTAAGAGGTTGATGGGGCCAGAGATTTTTCTGGAGTCTCTTGGGAGGTTTTCCTGGTAGTCCTGACAAGAACCTGGTCTCATGTTGGAAAAAAAGCTTGTCTCAGGCCACTCATTGCTCCTGTGTATTTGAAAAACTATGCTGTCCTTTGACCTAGCCTAGAAGTAGCTTCCTAGAGTTGCAAAATGCCAAAGATTCTGGAAAATCAGGAAATTCTCTAAGGGCAACATATCCCTTCTTCCTCATACACTTACACAAATTGATATTCGGTCTTTTTTGGGGAAAGAAATCTACATCACCAAGAATAAAATTCTTTTGACTTTATTCCATTCGCTTATATAGAACAAGGAAAAAAGTATTATGATCAAGACTACCATAGAGAGAAAGGAAACACAATTAGATGCATTTTTTTTTCTTCCTGAGCCCACCAAATAATTTTCCTTGCGTCACCTGAAGACTAGCTCTTCCTCAGGTACCAAAAGGATTAACCGTCTCTCTTCCTTTCCTGTGCAAGCAATTCTGTCAAGTTCAACTTATTTCTTCTGTGCCAGGGGCCCAGATGGTGTGAAACTGGAAAATGCCAACAGCAGCATAGCCACAGTCTCTGGGCTTAAAGTAGGAGTGTACAAATTCACACTAACAGTCAAAGATGAACGGAATTTACAAGGACAAAGTTCAGTTACTGTCATTGTGAAAGAAGGTGAGTAGCAGGTAGAAGTAATATTTTAATGGCCATCAAATCAGATGGACCACTCTGGCTGGGGAATTCTGGGAGTCGAAGTCTACTCATGCTGGCTGGGGAATTCGGAGAATTAAGTTTACACATCTTAAAGTTATTGAGTTTGAGAAACACTGAACTAAACCAACACCCTGGCCGTTACTGTATTCTGTAATTACTTTCTTCTAAGAGAACTAATGGGAATTTTTAAAAAGTATATTTCTGGATTATCTCACCTTCCTTATTAATTAATTGATTAGTTTGAAGGCACTGATTGACTATATTCTGGCTAGCTCTGTAAAGCATATGGTTAATTCAGTTGGGTGTTACGTCTAATGATGGACTCCATGCTGGAATGAATGTTCCCAATATCCCTCTCCTGGTATATCTTCACCTACTGTTATCCTTTGGACTCATTTGCCTTCTGATCTTTCCATCTTCCTTTTTTGCCCAGAGATAAATCAGCCTCCTGTTGCAAAAATTGTGGGCAACAGTGTCACCATCACTCTCCCTACAAACACGGCAGAGCTTGATGGGTCCCAATCTACGGATGACAAAGGAATTGTCACCTTCCTGTGGACTCGGGATGAGAGCAGCCCTGCAGCAGGGGTGGGTAATGAGAGGTCTGCTACCACGTTTTTCTGCGGTGCTTATGCCTAAATGTGAGACTCAGGAACGTTTAGCAATATTTCGCACAACTGCATGAACGATAACAGCAGCTCATGAGCTAGGGACAATCCAGTATATTGAATTTTGTTTTCCTTTAGAGCAATTTTCCTCAGTCAGTTGCCCTCTAAATGGGTTGGAAACAACTCCCATAAATATTGTACAGGAGAAGTCTGTAAAATCTGTATAAAACTAATTAACCCCAGGGGCCCTTTGGAGCTCTCTAATAGAAGATAACCAGAAAGGAAACAGCATATCCTGAAGCTACACAGCATTATCTCTGCGTAATGGCTGCTGTATCTATGAAATACCCTTGCTCTGTCCTTAATTTTTAAATCTATTTCACTGTTAATTGGCCCTTGATATTTGCTCACCTTGCCTGGTTTTGTATTTAATCAAAATGACTTCATGTGCTTCCTTCAAAATCCCAGGTTGTTTTTTGTTTTTTTTAAAGCATTCAGAAAGAGGCCTCTCCTGCATTTCTGGTGCTTTACCAGTTATGTCATTGATCAAAAGTACATAAGGATACCTGGGTTGCTTCCAATTTCTCCTCCATATGAAGGAGAGAATCCATTTTGCTTTACCGTATGCATCTGTTTGTGTGCAATGCTTCTAAGAATTTGAAGGATCCTCCAGAGATCTTGAATTTCTGCTATGTTTCCTTTTGGGCATTTGTGTGAAATACAGGAGGTGCTAAATAATTCGGATCATCATCCCATTCTGTTTCTCTCCAACCTGGTGGAGGGAACGTACACCTTCCATCTGAAAGTGACTGATGCCAAAGGGGAGAGTGATGTGGACCGAGCCACTGTGGAAGTAAAAGCTGGTGAGTGCATCCATTTCTTTCATCCTATCTTCTTTCAGAAAATGATTGGGTCCACATGAAGCTTACGTGGAAAGGGGAAAGCAATGCAGACACTGCGGTTAAGATGTTATTATTATGTGCTAATAACTTAGCTCAGTGGCTCTGAGCTTGTCGATCGAAAGGCCAGCAGTTCAGCGGTTCGAATCCCTGGTGCCGCATAATGGGGTGAGCTCCCGTGACTTGTCCCAGCTTCTGCCAACCTAGCAATTCAAAAGCACACAAAAAATGCAAGTAGAAAAACAGGGACCACCTTTGGTGGGAAGATAACAGCGTTCCGTGCGCCTTTGGCGTTGAGCCATGTCGGCCACATGACCACGGAGACATCTTCGGAAAGCGCTGGCTCTTGGGCTTTGAAACGGAGATGAGTACCGCCCCCTAGAGTCGAGAACAACTAGCACATATGTATGAGGGGAACCTTTACCTTTAATAACAAGTAATAATATAAATGACTAATGAAGGAGCAAGGTTGGTAGTAAGTATACTTCAGCATACTATTCCTCTAACCATGTTATCCACAATATTAATAATCATTAGAAGAGATAAATTCATCTCTTCCAATTGCAAAAATGGACCTTCATGGACCTGATGAAATCACAACTTTAAGCTGCACAGTCTCTGGTCTCAGCTGCTATGCTTTATTCATTTAAAAATCCAATATCCTAACATTGGGTTTCACTTCTAGTAGTCCTTGTTTACTGACTGCTTCATTTCACAACCATTTGTAGTTATGACAGCGATGAAAAAGTAGCTTTACGACCAATTCTCACAGTTTTTGACCTTTGCACATCTTTAAAGAACCCACATTGTTGGGGGCAATAGACTGACTCTGTAAATCACGTAGGGACGGTTGTAAAGCACTGTGAAATGGTATATAAGTGCTATTGCTAAGTGCTAATAAAGCAAAGGAAAGCTGAAGTAACATCATAAGCACAGTTGCAGTTTCATGACAGCTTCACTTAAGAATATAGTTGTTAGTGCCAATTGTGATTCACTAAATGAGGTTTACCTGTATGTGACATGGTAAGGTTATTACTCTGTAAGTTTACTTTACTCAGATCATGTTTCTCAGCACACAGTGTACAAACGACATGCACCCCTTTTCCTCCATTTTATGCAACCACAAATCTTTTTCCAACTGCGATACTCAATTTTACTCCTTAAAAGTTGCATGGCTCTTACCTTTTAACCTGGGGAAACACACACAAATATTTAGTAATTACTCCAACAAAGGAACCCCCCCCCCAAAAGTCCCTGCCATCTTCCAAATCCAGGAAAAAGTGGAAACTAACACACACACACACACACACACACAGAGAGAGAGAGAGAGAGAGAGAGACGTAAGTGACAGAGCCATTCACCCTATCCCTCTTGCAGTGTTTAAGTATCTCCACCCCTTACCCCAAATCAAAACTTTGCCTCCTGTTCTAAACAACAAAAAGTTTCTCCGAGTTGATTCCATCTGGAATGAAGCAGCCATCTCTCAGGAGCCAGCCTTCGTGTTCTTCCCTCAAGGTTTTCCAAAGAATAAACTGAGTTAACCCAAAGATGACCACAGCAGACTTATTTTGTTTTTCCTTGTCCTGTTTTAAATGAGATCCACCCTCATCCCTGCGATTGAGCAAGGTTACATTCCAAACTCACCAATTCCTACGATGCCTTCTAGCGCTTAACGCCAGCATTCTTCCAGATCCTAGGAACAACAACCTGGTGGAAATGATTCTAGATGTGAACGTCAGCCACCTGACGGAGCGGCAGAAGGGCATGTTCATCCGTCAGATCGGGGTTCTGCTTGGGGTCCTGGATTCAGACATCACAGTTCAGAAGATCCAGGCTTACACTGAGAAGAGGTAAGAAAAGAAGAGTTACACTTTCAACCCAGCTTCCTTTCCATGGTGGTTTGAAGTAAATGAGAGGATGTGCCCATAACTATATGAGCCTTGGTGGCGCAGCAGACTAAAGCACTGTTAAGTAACACCAGCTGCCTGCAATTACTGCAAGTTCAAATCTCACCAGGCTCAAGGTTGACTTAGCCTTCCATCCTTTCGAGGTAGGTAAAATGAGGACCCAGTTTGTGGGGGCAATAAGCTGACTTTGTATAAAAAAGAACACCGCTTGGGGGGGGGGGGCAAAAGCCCTACTAAGCAGGTATATACAAAAGTATGAAGGCTATTGCTTAATGCATTGTAAGCCGCCCTGAGTCTCCGGAAAAGGGCGGCATATAAATCAAACCAATAAATAAATAAACAAATAAACAAATAAACAAATAAACAAATAAACAAATAAATAAAAATGGCTCCTTTGAGCTCTCATGAGAAGAGGTTGGAGATGAATGCAGACATCAGTTAGGTTAGGAGGGTCGCTGCAAGGGACTCGTTCTGAGATAACTAATGTTTGCCTATCCCAACAGACACCAGCCCCAGTTCCTTTTCATCAAAATAAAAGTGATACAAAGCAACATTTTCTTTTGGCATGCTCCAACTGAGCTACTTTTAAGGCTGCGATATAGTATTGGGTGTTACGAATTTCTTGAAACAGAGGTGGCCCAGGTGCTCTGTATTGTGTGGGCACAATTGTGTATGCGCACTTATATCTGTACTAAACACCCCTGCCCCCAGCCATTCACACGGTGAGAATACGGAGAAATTTAGAGGGCTACAGGCCTATTGGGCTCATAGATGCTACCAGCCAAAATGTATCTTGGAAGTTTGTAGTTTAGGATGTTGCTTGGTTTCCAGCCAGCCTAGTTTGTAAGTGTGATGCTTAAACATAGCCAATTTTGTTTTATGTAATAAACATGGGGGAAAAAAACCCCAATGATACAGTTTTGATGAATCCACTCCTAAAGTGCTTTTCTGAAATTACCTTTGCTTCCTTCAAGCATATTTTTAATAACCGTAAAAATATAGGAACATCAAATATTTAAGCCTATAATCTGTTTGGTTCCTGGTTTAAAACAGAAGAAGCAAAAGCAATGTGGATGGTCTGTCTGAGGCATGAGAAGGGGGCTGCAGTCCAGCATCAGCTGCATGATTCTGTTGAGCAATATGGTGGCAGAGGAAAGGGCAGTTAGCTAACAAAAAGCCTCACCTCCCTTTCATATATACAGGTAGCTCTCGTAATCTGCAGCCTCGCTTTTCCATGCTTGATAAATAAGGGTTCAGCCCTCAATAGACATGGACAGTTTTCACATATCTGCAGTTTGAGGGGTTTTTTTTGTTTTTTTTTTGATACTTCTCCCTTGCACAAAATGGCAGGTGGGCTTTTGTAGATGCATAACTTATGTTTTATAAGATTGGAGTTTGATCATCTATACCAGAGGTCTTCAAACTTGGCAGCTTTAAGACTTGTGGACTTCAACTCCACAACTCCACAAGGTTTTTTTTTTTTTTTTAATTTATATGCCACCCTTCTCCGGAGACTCAGGGCAGCTTACAATGCGTTAAGCAATAGCCTTCATACTTTTGTATATTTATACAAAGTCAGCTTATTGCCCCCACAAACTGGGTCCTCATTTCACCTACCTTAGAAAGGATGGAAGGCTGAGTCAACCTTGAGCCTTGGAGAGATTCGAACCAGCAGTAAATTGCAGGCAGCTGTGTTAATAACAGGGTGCTTAGACCACTGTACCAGCAAGGCTCTGGTCTTAAAGCTGCCAAGTTTGAAGACTTCTGATTTATACATTTGCTCTTCATTAGGTTTCAGGGGAAAGAGGCTTATCTTAAACACAGGGACCACATGGTCATTGGGTGAGAAACATTGAGCAAGTTGTTGAAGATGGTGTATTAAGGAAATGCTTCCATGGCTCCTTTCTGCCTCTCTTGAATTGCAATTCTGGTCAACCATTTTCTCCTTTATCTTTTGCCGTTTTCAATTTTCTTCCCTTTAACAGCACAAAGTTGGTGTTCTATGTGCGGAATCAGCCTCCTCACCAGATCTTCAAAGGACGTGATGTTGCATGGACCCTCAAGAGTGAATTGCGGAAGCAGCAATCAGATTTCCTTATCTTCCGTGCACTGGAGATCAATACAGTCAGTAAGTCAGAGGATATTTTAGGAGATTCACTTTAAGTCTATCCACACCCAGGAATCATGTTGCTGCCTAGCAGGACCTTGGCAGTGTGCTCTTTTCCATGGCAGCCTCTGCCCTGTGCATGCCATTCCTCTAGAGATCCAACAGGCTCCAACTCTCCAGGAGTTCCATCTTCCAGGAGGCCATAAAGATTCTTCCTCCAAGGTTCCTCCAAGAATAGGGTGAGGTTAGAGCTTGAAGATGGTGCTATTGGCTGCATTAAAGGAGATTGATTGTGGCACCAGGTTTTGATTTTTGGTTTTATTGCTTTTTGTTTTTATGATGTTTGGTTTATGTGATGGTTGTGAGCCTCCCAGAGTTATGTTTCTTGATGGGAGGCGTGCAAACAGACAAACAAGAAAGTAAAGCTCAGTTTACAAATAACACCCGTTGAAGTGAGCTGAAGCTTCCTGAAGCTGATGCCTTTTGGTAAAATGCATTACAGGCAGTCCTTGACTTGCAACCATTCGTTTAGTGACTATTTGAAGTTATAACAGCACTGAAAAAAGTAATGTAGGAGTGTTTTTCACACTTAGCATCCCCATGGCCATGTGATCAAAATTGGGGCACTTGGCAACTGGCAGGTACCGATGACAGTTGCAGTGTCCTAGGGTCATGTGATCATCATTTGCAACCTTCCCAGTTAGCTTCTGACAAGCAAAGTCAGAAAGGTTATTTCAATAAGCCCTTCATCAGAGTTTCTCTGTGAGGGAGATCTTCCACCTCCAAATTAGATATATAAATAAAATAAATAAATCTAAAACTCCAGGCCTTATGCATACATCTGGCTAGGACACTAACTTCATCTAGTTATTTGTATAACTAGATATAGTTATTATATATAATTATAAATAACTAGATATAGTTATTCGATGTAACTATACATCAAATACTCATATAAATTAGTAGCGAAAGCTAGAAATATTAAAGAATGCCTACTAAAATCAGTTACCCCAAATTTCTTTTGAAAGGTACACCTTTAGGACTTTCTTAAAATCAAAAAGCCATTACCCACAACTCAACAGGGATCCCATTCTAGAAATCCAGCTACAAGGATTGGCACAAGATGAGCCCACTGTAACTCTAGGTAAAACTCCTCAGTTGAACTCTGTGAACAAGGGAGTCAGCAGAAGATGTCCTAGATCTTAAGGTCTTTTCAAGTAGTCTGGATCAAAACTATAGAGTTAATAATAATCAATGCTGGCTATTTATCTGGAAATAATCTAGAAGCTAGCCTAATTCTTTAGCATAGATATGATGTGATCTTTTAGTTATGGCTGAGACCAACCTGGTTGCTGAGTTCTGGACCAGTTGAAAGTTTCTGAACATCAGAATACCCATATTAAATGGAAGCCTATAATAGCCATCAAATCCCTATGATGCATATATAGGGAAGTGATAGAGTTGTACATCAACCAAAGTTGATCAAAATAATTGCCTCCATCTGCAAAACCAGAAAAAAATGCAGATTTGCCTCAAACTGCATATCTGTTTGTTTTCTGTTAGAGTATAACCCTATTCACAATTAGCAGAAGCATCATCTCACTGGAAATTTGATTCTTCAGAATGAGCTCTTTTATATAAGCTGAATTCAGCATTACAGACCGCAAACAGCCAGGCAGTACTTGTGTTTCAGTTACACATTCGTGCTATATGGGCAAACAACCATGAGAAACATACATAAAGGCAGAATTCGTACTCCTCTGTGCCTGTCCCTGGTACTGTCTGCCTAAATATTGACTACATTTTCCTCCTCCTCAGCCTGCCAGCTCAACTGTTCAGATCACGGCCTCTGCGACTCTTTCACCAAGCGTTGCATTTGTGATCCTTTTTGGATGGAGAACTTCATCAAAGTGCAGATTGGTGATGGTGAAAGCAATTGTGGTAGGTGGACATCCCAGTTTCATGACTCTGCTGGACATAGAATGAGTTTTGCTAGAGGCTGTGTCAGGATGCAGCTTACCATTTGTGTGTGTCTAGGTTCCGTTAACATTTTAAACCTTACACCCTGTTATAGGGAGAGGAGGGTTAATGGTTGGCCTAGAGCACTGCTGTTGACCTCTCAGATTGTGTAGCCCGTGTTTTAAGTGCTATTTAGGAAAGGAAGGATCAATGGGGCCATTTGGTTCCACAAGAATGTTCAGGGGAGACCACAATAATTGCACGTTGTCTAACCTACAATCTGTCAGTTGCACATCCTGGTAAGTCAATGGGGATAACCCTTCCAAAAGGAGATGGGAGAGTAGTCACAGTAGCTACCACCTTAGAATAGAATAGAACTGGAAGGGACCTTGGAGATCATCTAGTCCAGTCCCCTGCTAAAATACCCTGGTCAATTTCTCTGGGGTGTGAGGCTCTGCTGATATTCCCTTAATTCAGAGTTTAAAATTAGCTGCTGTTAGCTACAGAGAACCTATCTATAAAGACAGAGGTAAAATCCAGGCTCTCCTGTGTGATTTCTGAAAGGTGGATACATAAGGCTGGTTTTGATCTGGAGTCAGAAATATAGCAGGGGATTGAGAAGAGTGGCCAAGCAAAGGCAGTAATTCAGGATCCTAATCCTGGTAATCCAGAAGTGCCACTTTTCCTGCTAATTGAGAACCCCTTACTGCAGAGGTCACTCCCAGAATTCTCCAGCCAGCATGCTATGCTGGCTGGAGAATTCTGGGAGTTGAAGTCCACAAGTCTTAAAGCTGCCAAGTTTGAAGACCTCTGCCTTACTGCATTCCCATCTTCTCCTTGTTCTGCCCGAAAGACCTGTGAAATTTCTGTTACGTCTCAAAAGTCAGACAATCTGAGAACATTTCTGTTCTTCTTCCAGAATGGAGTGTGCTCTACGTTGTGATTGCGTCCTTTGTGATTCTGGTTTCCCTTGGGATCTTCTCCTGGGTGGTGGTCTGCTGCTGCAAGAAGTGAGTAAGCTCCCTGTGCCCTTTGCCAGCGTTCCCAGATTGTTGGGGGCAAGATGCTGACTCTGTAAACCGCTTAGAGAGGGCTGGAAAGCCCTGTGAAGCGGTATATAAGTCTTAAGTGCTGTTGCTGCTGTTCCCTGACTGAGCTGTTAATCTGCTTCTGCCTTCCCTGAGTCCCAACTTGTTTGTTTGTCTCCTGAAGGAAAAAAGGAAAACCCAAAAGGAAGAGTAAGTATAAGATCTTGGATGCCACGGATCAAGAGAGCCTGGAGCTGAAGCCAAATTCCAAAGCAGGTGAGACCTGAGAGAAGAAGTTAGTCATGACCGAAGACAGAGGCAGCCTGTTTTTTATTCTCAAGGGATTTTAAATGTCTGCATGAACCTCAGTTTAGGTCTTTATAGGTAATCTTTGATTTATGATTATTTAATGACAGTTTGAAGCTACAACAGCCTCAAAAAAGTGACTTATGACCAGTCCTCAAAGTTATGACTGTCATACCCCCCCCCAGGTCACATGTTCACAATTTGGGTGCTTAGCAACTGACTCACATTAAGGATGGTTGCAGTATCCTGCGATTATGTGATTGTGACTTATGACCTTATCAACTGGGTTCCAACAAGCAAAGTCAGTTGGGGAAGCCAGATTCCTTCATGACTGCTGTGTGATTCGTTTAACGCCGGCAGCAAAAATAGCTGTGAAATCAGATCCAGCCACGTGATGTAGTTCCTCATTCCTGCTAATGTGTAAAGTAAGAGGACCAAGCATGTGATTCCTTTTTCTCTAATACATCGTAGCTTGTGATCTGGAGAGGGAATGTTTTTCTTGTCTTTGCAAAGAAACATTTATTCTGAGAGAGGGATATAAAAGAAAGAATGGGCTTGGGGCTCTCCTATTTGCATGTTTGTTTGTTTTTGTTTATTGATCACATTTTAAAATCACTCCTCTCCCTCACAGAGCACTTCCGGGCAATGCACAATAAAATATTAAAATATAAAAACAATATATAAAAGTTAAACACTGAGGTGAGGCAAGGATGATTAAAACACTGTTTAAAATTAATTGAAAGGCAAAGGGAGAACTTTCAGAGTACTAACCAGGCCCATGGCTGCATGCTTCTCTGGGCTCCCCACACAAGGCCACAAAGCCAGCTCTTCGCTCCTTTTTTTTTTAAATTTGATTTATATGCTGCCCTTCTCTGGAGACTCAGGGCGGCTTACAGTGCGTTAAGCAATAGCCTTCATACTTTTGTATATTTATACAAAGTCAGCTTATTGCCCCCACAAACTGGGTCCTCAATTTACCTACCTTAGAAAGGATGGAAGGCTGAGTCAACTTTGAGCCTGGCGAAATTCGATCTTACTTTAATTGCAGACAGCTGGTGTTAAATTACAGTGCTCTGTCTGTTGAGCTATCCAGGCTCCTCCTTTCCAGAAGGCCAGGAGGGTGGGGGCCTGCCTCACCTCCGGGGAGGGGGAGAATATTCCACAGGACGGGGCAGTGGGAGAGAAGGCTCTCTTCCTGGACCCAGCCAGTCAGAATTCTTTGACTGACGGGATCCGCAACATGCCTTCCCTGCCTTCCCAGGTTGGACGGGCTGATGTCAGAGAACAAGGCCCCAGGTAAAAAAAAATCTGTCACTTATTTTTCAGAGCAACAGAAAGTTATATTTTCCTCTTGTACTAAAGAATTACAGCTAAATTTCCTTGCTTCGTAACTCTTATCTAAAGTGAAAATTGTTTCAAGCCGATGCTGGCAAATAAGAGCTCAGGTAAAGCTCATGCTTGAATCTTCTTTCCTCCTGTTCATTACTGCTTTGAGTTTATTTTAACTTGGTTTGTTGTAACCAATGCTACGTAAATAAATTAACCGTAGTATATTTATTTAGATTATCCATTGAAAAAAGGCAGAAATATCAGGATATGTACAATAAGGAGCAAGAAAAACAGTCTCAAAAGGAGGAAAGTGGAGTCAATAAGTGGGATCACTCTCCCCATATCCACCTCTCCTGCAAGATTTTATTTACTTATTTATTTTTATTTATTTGTTTATTTTGTCAAGCATATATAAGATAACAGGTAAAAGTATAAACATAATTTGAATATATAAAAAGAGTAAGTAAAAAGGAATATTAGGACAGGGACGATAGGCACACTGGTGCACTTATGCATAGGCAGCCTTTTGTTTCTTTATGTTTCTCTGTTTGTTTTTAAAGGCAGCAAGCAGAAATCCCAGGCACAGAACACCAGTCTGATGCATTCGGAGTCTGAACTGGACAGTGACGAAGCCATCTTCACTTGGCCTGACCGGGAGAAGGGAAAGCTCCTCCACGGCCAGAATGGCTTTCTGCGAAATGGGCAGGTGATACTGAAGCCAAAAAACCAGCGAGAAGAGATTCTATAGCGACAGGCCTGCGTCACAAAGAGTTGGCAAACGATATGAAAGACCACTCTCTTCCTCCTCGGTTGCACGAGGAATCCTGGGAGTACCACTGTTTGGAGAGTCCTTCTCTCTTTACCGATCATCTCTAAGAAAATGTTGAGTCAAACTGCCAGTACTTGAATTTGGACTCAAAAGGGAAATTTAATTTTGGCAAAAGAAGCTGTGAAACAAAAGACTATGAAGGGTAGGTGCGGTTCTGAAAACAATGCAGAACTTCCCAGCCACTCCTGTGAAAAGGCATCTATTTGCGTAGGGCTGCAGTACAGATCCGAGGCTACTCATGCAAGCATCTGTTTGCTACAGAGTTGGCAACCTTCTTCACACACTCTTCTGTATTGTTTGTGAGAACACACTCCGTAGTTGGTCTTGAAAGCTGAGATGCCTCAAACTGTCCCCCCCCACCCCCCAATTCACTCCTAGGAAAACTTTCCTGATTCACCATCATTTATATGAGCGTCATTTTCCAGAAATGGAAGAAGCCAAGCATTGTCTCCATGGCAAGTGAAGAAACTGCATTTTGACTAGGATGGTAAATTCCCCTTTTCAGTTTTTGCCAGTGGTGAGAATTGAGATGGAGCCTCCAGATCGCTGGTTGCTCGGGCTCTTTTCCTCCACACTCTGCATCAACCCTGAAAGTTTTTCTCACTGGTAGTCAGTCACACTGTAGAACAACAGGCTCCTTTGCCTGTGAAAAACACTGATGTGTCGTCTTGCAAAAAAAAGGAAAGAAAAAAGAAAACCCACCTTTGCACAAGTGGAAAAGGAGGAGGAAGAGGGTCAAAAGACAAATGTAGACAAATGGATTCTGATACCGCCCAGTAGATCAGTGCCTCTTTCTCTCCTATTGCACCACCTCTTTCTTTGTTGTTAATCCCATGCACATTGTGTGCTTCCCATTGAAAATGTTGCTTATCCCATATCAGACCTATTAAACCCCCTCCCCCTTTTTTTTAACCTAGAGCAAATGCAGGCATCTCCACTGAACAGCCTATTGGGTGGAAATCACAAGTTACCAACCAATGTAAAGCAGCTCCCTTTTCTTCTTCTAAGATGATGGAAAATGCTTCCTAGTTTCATTAGGGGGTATGCGATTTACTCTCGCTCATTTTTCTTTTTCCCTCCTGTTATTACATGCTTTATTCATTTCCATGCTCCCTGTTTCACACTTGGCAAACATCCTTTTTCCCTCTAAAGAAAAAAAATGAACTCTAGTTGACTATCCCTTCCTCCTCTCCCACCCTCCCATTCCTTCTTAGTGCTATCACTGATTAATTGCAAGGGGCAAACCCTTCTAAGTGCTTACACTGTGATGACAGGGGCCCTAATTTTAAAATTGTGGAAGTTCAGATTTATTATTATTATTTTTTTGTTAGGTTTAGGATGGCCAGATATCTCCCTAAACAATTATGTGGTCCCCTGGAGGTTAGTAGACCACAGGTGAATGGTTTACGACATTCTGTTCTTTTAATAAAGTCTTTGGAAGTAAGGGAGAAAAAGTTGATGATGTTATGTAGGGCCCCCAAATGTTATAAATGGAAATGTGGCCCTGAGGGCACCGAGGTTGGCCAGGCTTGTCTCTGGTGAAGAATCATTTTTCAACTTCTCCTGTTTCCTGTTTACATTGCTGCACTACTGATTTTTTTGGAAGATGAAGAATAAATATGCTGCTCAGCCTGTGGGGGCACTTAACCCCGTTGAACTGGAATCATGGCTGTCCTTGTCTTCTTTTCCTTCTTTCCAGCAGTAGAGGTGGGATTCTTGAATTCGATGGTTTCCTTGAAAATGAACAACCTTGTCCTAGGCCAGTGTTTCTCAACCTTGGAAGCTTGAAGATGAGTGGACTTCAAGCTTCCAAGGTTGAGAAACACTGATCTAGGCAAACGAAGGTTCTTGGGTGTTCTACTTCCAGCAGACCAAAGGTTGGAATGGAGTCTAAGTTGCCATGGGGATGCGTTCAGGAGGAAGATTTGCTTCCTCACCAAGCACAGAGAAATTCCTTGATAGTACTGATAGTTCCCATCAAAGGGAAACGAGGACTTTTAGGGGCCTGGACATAAAAATCTCTCTCCAGAACAAATACCTCTTCAAAGGTCAAGGTCTTTAATCTCTAGAGCCCACATGGACAGCTGCAGCCTTAAATTATTCTTGAGGAAAAGGAGCTATATATGATGCTTGAAGCCTGTTTGAGTGGTTTCTTTTCCTTGATTGTACTGAAACGTACTTCCATTTAGGTCAATGTGGATAAGAGCCAGTTTCGTGTGGTGGTTAAGATGCTGGCTTAGAAACCAGGAGACACTCAGTTCTCCTCCCACCTTAGGCATGATAGCCGGCTGGGTGACTTTGGACCAATCAGTTACTCTCAGCCCAATACATGTCATAATATTGCGGAGAAAACTGGAAAAAGCTCACCAAGAAGACATGATGAAAAACCCAGTTATATTTATTCAGGATATCAATGTGGGTGTCCAAGAAGTCAAGATGGTGGGCTCAATCATGTGACTGGAGCCTCGTCATTTTTACATTGGCTGTGACCCTCTAGTTGGTTGTGGCTGCCATCTTGAGCCCTGTGCCAACACCCCTGCACTTAGTAGATCATCTAGAGCAGGGGTGTCAAACTCACAGCCCGCAGCCCAGATGCCTCATGCGCTGGCCACACCCACGCCCGGTTTAGCGAAGGGGAAAAAAGTCTCGATGTCACGTGACGACGCCATGACAATGCGAGTTTGACCCCCCTAATCTAGAGTCATCTTCCCCCCACCATCCATTCACATAGGGGCTATTCCCCACTTGCATACAATAAAAATAAAGACCCCACTGAGTCAAGCTCAATTCCTGTGACTTTATGAACACATCTAAAGGGATGGAAGATGTTCTCCCACTGCCTCATCCAGTCCAGTCAGTTGTCCTGGAATTGTGGTTTGCCACCTGGGTACCAACTAGACCTGCTTAGGTTTGTTTTAAGATCGCGTATGTCAACTCCCTGTGTAAAACCTATGTTAATTTTATTTGTACATGAAGTTCAAACCCATCTTTATTCATAGCCAAAGCCTACTGCTCATGAATATAAATTGTCGGCCTCCAAGTAATGTGTCCTTCTCAGAGCCCCCCAACGTGCTTCAGAACCTTCCTGCCCACCAGTCTTGACCCACAGGGCAGGGGCTTGTTCCACTTTCTTCATCGGTTACATTTGGAACATCACTATAACGTGCTGCACATCTGCTTCTTGTTATGAAAGACACCCAGCTTTTGGAAGCAATAGGATGGTTGGGAATGTCATTATTTTCAGCAAACGGGCACTGAGAGCTAATATGATAGTTTATTAGCTGTTTATCTCACCTTTATTGCTTTATAAATAACACAAGGCAAATTTCCAACTCTTAGTTTGAGCCTTTATGTGCAAATGTTGGTACATTATTAGAAAAAAAGTCATCAGTCATGGGAAAGGTAAGGAGATGAAAAATAGTTCTGTATCCTTTTCAGTATTCCAAGCTCTGTAATAGGTACCATATTTTTCGGAGTATAAGATGCACCTTTCCCCCCCCCAAAAAAGGGTCAAAATCTGGGCACGTCTTATACTCCGAATGTAGCCCCGCCCAGCTTCTCAAATGGAGGTTTCAGAGGCTGAAAAAAGCATCAGAAACAAAGCTTCAGAAAAGAAGCCCCCATTTTATTTATTAAAAATAAATAAAAAATATTTATTTTTATTTATTTATTTATTTTGTCAAGCATATATAAGATAACAGGTAAAAATATAAACATAATTTGAATACATGAAAAGAGTAAGTAAAAAGGAATATTAGGACAGGGATGGTAGGCACACTGGTGCACTTATGTGCACCAGTGAGAACAATTTTTTTCCTCTTTAGGTCATGAAGAACTATATGAATATGAGAAAGTTTATTGTGCATTTGTTGATTTAGGAGAAGTGTATGATTAAGTAATAGATTTGAATGATGGATGTTTTGCATGAGTATGAAGCTGAAGGTTAATTGATGAATGCATTAAGAGTGGAACTAAGTGGGTAAGAATAAATGAAATGGTTACTGAACAGTTTAACATTGAAAAAGGATTAAGACAAGATGTTCCTTTAGTTATTTAATATATTGATAGAGAAAAACATAAAGAATGCTTATGATGATGTTAGAACACTATTAGTTGAAGATGTGTACACACACACACACACACATACACATACTTTGTATTCTTGGCTGAGGTCTTAAATTATATGCAAGGAATGTTAGATTACACAACAAAATAAAGAGCATGGAAATTAATGTATAAAAGACCAAGGCAGTTGAGTTCAATAAGAATAATGGAGTCAACTGTTTGAAGTTATATGGAAATGGGAAAAAAAATAAGTAAATAGATAAATTTGTGTACATTGGTAGAATGTTCACTAAGAACAACAAAAATGGAGATATTTTTAAGAAGTTGCAAGTCAGATGGAAAGATAGTAAGTAGAATGTGTTGTGTTTGTGAAAGAAGAGAAAATAACTACAGTACAGGTAGTCCTAGACCCGTGATGGCGAACCTGTGACATGCGTGTCACAGGTGGCACACAGAGCCATAGGGGTGGGCACATGAGCGTTGCCCTAGCTCAGCTCTGGCGTGCATGTGCGCGCTGGCCAGCTGATTTTTGGGCCTCCGGTGGGGTGGGGGTGGGGAAGGCCAGTTTTTCGCTCTCCCCAGACTCCAAAGGCTTTCTAGGAGCCTGGGGAGGGCAAAAATGGCCTTCCCCACCCCACCGGAGGCCCTCTCGAGGCCGGAAATGGCCCAATTGCTTACTTCCGGTGGGACTAGAAGGCCCATTTTTCACTCTCCCCAGGCTCCAGAGGCTTTCTAGGAGCCTGGGGAAGGTAGAAATGGCCTTCCCCACCCCGCCGGAGGCCCTCCGTTTCCGGCCTCCGGGGGGGGGGAAGGCCGTTGTCACTCTCCGCAGGCTCCTAGAAGCCTCAAGGGGGAAGCCAGGTTCAGTTAACAACCATGTTACTAATTTAACAACCGCAGTGATTCACTTAACAACGGTGGCAAGAAAAGTCGTAAAATAAGGCAAAACCCATTTAAAACAAATTTCTCACTTAACACATAAATGTTGGGCTCAATTGTGGTCGTAAGTTGAGGCCTACCCTTTATATAAGTGTATGTAGGTCCACTTATATGGAAATGAGAGTTGGGTACAATAGGAGGAACTGAAAAGTACTTGAATGTAAATGGGGTCTTTACAGGTGACAAAGGAAGAAGAATGAATACAAAGTGAAGAATCCACAAGAATATACAGATTTATATACATATAAGGAGGATGAATTGAAAAACAAATATATGAAGGAAGAGCAAAGGGGTAAGAAATCAGGGGAAGAGCAAGAACTCCAAAACAAGCATGGTTGAAATGGAGTTGATCAAGGAGCAAAAGTCAATATATAAAACTCTGCAGGTAGTCCTTGAGTTACAACAATTTATTTAGTGGCCATTCTAAACAGTGGTGAGTTGCTCCCGGTTCGCCCTGGTTTGCAAGAACCGGTAGTAAAAATTTGTAGTAGGTCCGAGAACCGGTAATAACATTGGCTGGCCATGCCCCCGAACTGGTCCCCGGCCCGGTCGCCACTCACTTATCCCGCCCACCTCATCAGGGCCTTTTTTTTTTAACTTTTAAAAGCATTTTTTCTACAACCTCTTCGGCGGAAAAAATGCTTTTAAAAGTAAAAAAAAAAAAGCCTCTGATGATTGTACGGCTCAGCTGGGATCGTCAGAGGCTTTTAAAAGTATTTTTTCTACAACTTCTTCAGCCAAAGAGGTTGTAGAAAAAAAATGCCTTTAAAAGCCTCTGGCGATCCCAGCTGACTTGCCTGATCATCAGAGGCTTCTAAAAGCATTTTTTTCTGCAACCTCTTCAGTCGAAGAGTTGTAGGAAAAAAAAATGCCTTTTAAAGCCTCTGGCGATCCCAGCTGACTTGCCTGATCATCAGAGGCTTCGTCAAAAGCATTTTTTTTTCTGCAACCTCTTAAGGTTGTTGAAAAAATGCTTTTAAAAGTAAAAAAAAAAGCCTCTGATGATTATACGGCTCAGCTGGGATCGTCAGAGGCTTTTAAAAGTATTTTTTCTACAACTTCTTCAGCCAAAGAGGTTGTAGAAAAAAAATGCCTTTAAAAGCCTCTGGCGATCCCAGCTGACTTGCCTGATCATCAGAGGCTTCTAAAAGCATTTTTTTCTGCAACCTCTTCAGTCAAAGAGTTGTAGGAAAAAAAATGCCTTTAAAAGCCTCTGGCGATCCCAGCTGATTTGCCTGATCATCAGAGGCTTCGTCAAAAGCATTTTTTTTTCTGCAACCTCTTAAGGTTGTTGAAAAAATGCTTTTAAAAGTAAAAAAAAAAAGCCTCTGATGATTATACGGCTCAGCTGGGATCGTCAGAGGCTTTTAAAAAAATATTTTTTCTACAACTTCTTCAGCCAAAGAGGTTGTAGAAAAAAAATGCCTTTAAAAGCCTCTGGCGATCCCAGCTGACTTGCCTGATCATCAGAGGCTTCTAAAAGCATTTTTTTCTGCAACCTCTTCAGTCGAAGAGTTGTAGGAAAAAAAATGCCTTTAAAAACCTCTGGCGATCCCAGCTGACTTGCCTGATCATCAGAGGCTTCGTCAAAAGCATTTTTTTTTCTGCAACCTCTTAAGGTTGTTGAAAAAATGCTTTTAAAAGTAAAAAAAAAAAAAG